GGGTGATCAATCCCAAACAGCATCTCTCAACGCCAAACAAACGCGGACCAGCCGAAATTAAGCAGCGACGATCTGCTCGCTACCTGAGGCACCAGTACCAGGGGCTCTGCCATTACATACCAGTAAAAAAAAGGTGAAACCATACTAACCTTAATCGACTAGTCCTTATCGCCCTATCACCACGTGATATAACCAACCACGCTTATCGCCTTATCGCTGACAAAACAAGATCGAACTCCATCGAAGATCATCACCACTTCTTCCTCTCTGTATATAAGTCACCTTCCTTCCCTCCATAGACACCCCCTCATATCACGCGCCACCCTCACGCATCCACCAGCAACCATGACCGACTCCGAAACGCCAACAGGGGACACCCTAACCCTGCAAATCCACCACCGCAACGCCTCCCACCCCCTCACCCTCCCAACAACAAGCACCCTCACAGACCTAACAGAGCTCATCTCCTCAACATTGCAAATCCCTCCAACCCACCAAAAGCTCCTCATCTCTCCCTCCCCAGGAATGCTCAAACACCCATTCCCACCAACCCCCCTGCAAGACCTCCTCCCCCTCACCTCCCCCAAGTTCAAACTCACCCTGCTGGGCACACCCCCACGAGACATCGAATCGCTCAACACGCACGGCACCGAACTCAAAGCCCGCGCTGAAGCCCGCGATCGCGCGCACCGTCTCTACGCCGCGAAACCCACTCCCTCCAGCACCTCCTCCAACGTTAGCAAAATCCATACTCTCTCTAACAGCGCCAACGGCAGCGGCTCCTACACTTTCCACCGATGTGTTCCGCTCCCGCATCTTCCTAACCCTTCTAAATCATTGACGTTTCTTGAGCGCCTCCGCGACGACCCCGGGATTAAGTCCGCGATGCAGAAGCATAAGTTCTCTGTGCCGCTGTTGACGGAGATGGATCCGGCTGAGCATACGACGAGCGAGTCGAGAACGTTGGGGTTGAATCGGAATAAGGGCGAGGTTATTGAGTTGAGGTTGAGGACGGATGCTTATGATGGGTATAGGGATTATCGCACGATACGGAAGACGCTATGTCATGAGTTGGCGCATTGTGTTTTTAGTGAGCATGATCGCGATTTCTGGGATTTGACGTCTCAGATTGAGAAGGAGGTTGAGAGGGGGGATTGGACGAAGAGTGGGAGGACCGTTGGGGAGCAGGATTTCTATAATCCTGGGGATTGGGAGGGGGTTAGGGAGCATGGGTTGGTGGTTGATGAGAAGGGGTGGACTGGAGGGCAGTTTGTGCTTGGTGGGGGTGGTGGTAGTGGTGGTGGAAGGGGAGAGAGTCGGAGGGAGGTTTTGGCTAAGGCGGCGGAGGAGAGGATGAAGAGGGCGAGGGAGAGAGAAGGGGAGGGGAGGTCTTGAGGAATGGTGGTTCAAGTGTGGTTCTTTGTATAGTTTCTGAATTTGCGTAGCATCTTGGTATATACTCCTTTCCGATACCAGCATTTAATGACATGAAATGACATGATATGATACCATATTTTGGACATCTACAACTGCTCGTTCACGAACAGACCAGCCATACCCTGGCCCGTGCCAATGCACATACTTGTCACCAGGACCTTCTTCTTCGTCCGTCGCGCCTCACTGAGGATCGTACAGATCTGGCGTGCGCCCGTTGCGCCCAGCGGGTGGCCGAGGGCGATGGCACCACCGCGCGGGTTCACCTTGGCGTGCTCCAGACCCAGGTTGTTGAGACAGTAGACAGCCATGGAAGCAAAAGCCTCGTTAATCTCGTAAATGTCGATGTCGTCCTTGTTCAAGTTGAACTGGGACAGCAGCTTAGGGATAGCTGCGGTGGGACCAATACCCATGATCCGGGGCGGCACTCCCGCGACGGTTGCACCGCAGAACTTGGCCAGGATGGGCTGGTTCAGCTCAATAGCCTTGGAGCGGCGCATGAGAAGAACAGCGGCGGCTGGACACACGTCATCAGTATAACCCTTATAACTCAACCATCACAAAGATAACTTACCACCATCCGTAACCTGACTAGAGTTACCTCCCGTGCTCCGGTTACCGAACTGCGGGAAAGCAGGACGGATCTTGCCCAGAGACTCTGGCGTCGTACCATAACGAATACCCTCATCCTTGGTCAACGTAACCTGCTTCACCTCCCCAGTCTTCGGGTCCTTAACCTTTGTGGTAATGGGGACGATCTCGTCATCGAACCAGCCCGCCTTCTGAGCCTCCTCCGCCCGACGGAACGATTCCGCAGCGTACTTATCCTGCTGCTCGCGCGTGATGTTGAAGTCCGCACCAACATTCTCCGAAGTCTGTCCCATAGGCTGCATGCAGTCCGCCGCTTCCTGGTTGCGAAGGACCTCCTCGTTGAACGGGCGCGGCAGCCGGTCACCACCAACGGACATCAGCTCCGCACCAACAGCGATACCAACATCAATGGCACCAAGCTGGATTTGGTTCGCGATGTCCTGTACGGCCTTTAGACCAGACGAGCAGAAGCGGTTCACGGAGGATCCACCGGCTGTGTGAGGGATGCCGGCTGCGAGGGAGGCAGCGCGGACGAGGTAGGCTGCTTTGCCGTCACCGACCTACATTAATAGTATAAGAGTTAGTAATCCGGTTTCTATAGACAGGACAAGTTGGCGCTCACATTTCCCAGACACACATCCTCAATCAGAGCGGGGTCGATCTTGGATTTAGAGAGCACTTCCTTCAACAGTGCATAGAGGATATAGTCCAGCTCTGTGTCTTTGAATCCACCTTTGACAGCCTTTGCGAGGGGCGTGCGCAGCGCGAGAGTGATAACCACATCGTCTGGGTTCTTCTGGGTGCTGGAGGTGCTGGTTAGTGGTGTTTGTTTGCCGGAAACGGTCTGGTGCTTACATTGCGGTGAGTCCGCTGTTACCCGATGGCTTCAGGTGACTGAGGATAGAGTTTAGACGATCTGCTGCCATGGTGTTCTGTGTAGCTGTTGAAAGATTCAGGGGTCAGTTTCTGGAAGGTGGATTGGTTGGGGAAAGCTGATAGCATGAAAGCGGAGATGAGTTTGTCAGGCGCAATCTGGTATTCCAGAGCAAGGTGCAACTGTGACAGCAAGTCGATGAGTATATACGTACCTGTGAGAAGAGAGATAATGCTAAGAGATCAAGAAGGATAAGAAGAAAGCGGAGCAGAAGAGGGGAGAGGAGGATGATATAATGAAGGGAGCAAATGCGGTGGTTCTCCAATCCAGCCGAACAGCCGAGGTTCTTTCCCCTCTGGGACGGCCGATCAGCACTAACAGTACTTTGCCTCTCGGCCACTTTATGAGGAGTGGGAAGTATCTCCGATGTGCCCCAACCTCGGCGACGATGATCACCGTTACATCTTAATCCCAATAGATCAAAGCTACCGTGTTTCTAACATAAAAGCAATATATGTACAGGTGGCCATTGCCACATTGCGCCCGAATAAGCAAAACCAGTCCAAGCAAACTCAACACCCTATCGCCTACCCATGATCATACGTCCAGCAAAAGTTTCTTCAATATCACTCAACCAGTCCCATGCCTACAAATGATGATGCTGCTCGTCGTTGCTAATAACGCTGCCAACTTCGGACCAGCTAGCCGGAGTAGCTGCACCGGAGCGCTCAAAGTCGCTTAGCGTGCCTTCAGACCCATCCACTGCAGACTCATAGATTTGGCTGAAGCTACCGGCAGTAGACGGTGTAGATGGGCGCTCAACGTGATGACCCTCGGAGTGTAGGTCGGATAGGTCTGAAAATGGAGATCTCAGGTCCCGCCCAGTGCCATTGACAGCATGATCCTCCGGATGAGCATAGATAACCTGAGAATAATCTTCGGTGTGGCTAGATGCAGGTGTGTCGGGACGATGGTAGCTATCCGATCCTACAAAGTGTTCGTCCTCATCAAACTGGGAATGAAACGAGGTCGCAAGCCTTTCCGGTGCTTCCGACGTAGGTGTGAACTCAACGAGCGACGGGGTATGAGAGCCAGGGGACGGAATTGCAATCTGTAGGCGACTCCCGATATTGTTTGAGCCATCTATTTCAGCCATAGGGGTTGACGTTCCAGTCTGCTTGCCGCGTTGGACAGGCTGCGACGTCGTCACTTCCACCGCCGTCGAGTTCGCCATTGAATCATTCACCGGAGGCTCTGGACTATCCAAAAGCCGGCCACTATCATCCACCAGAGCGTCAAAGCTGCTTGCTGGGGCTCCGTCTCTAGTCTTGCGACGGGCTTCGAGCACGCTGCGTCGCCGCTGAAGCTCTTCCACCGCTAACCGCCGTCGCTCCTCAGCCGCAGCGCCCACCTCTTCCGTCATCGAGATATCCTGCCTTAGAGCGGCTGCGTCTTGTGGATGGATCTCATCACCAAGATGGTGAAGCGCCAGGGCGATCTTCCGTCGTGAGGTATTAACCCATTGTCGGAACTGGGGCGATTCGTAAACCGCGATACCTGCAGCGACAAGCGCCGACACGGTGATTATAATGCCTGAAAGGTCAGTACCACCGCTTCCGAGCTGAAAGCACTTGCATAGAATAGCCCTTTCACATGGAAAAAGAAAGAAACTACAATGAAATCATCGCACAGACGATGCGGATCGAGCCGGGCTCGAGCAGCTCATAGATCATGATCATTTTCCTGATAAGCACACCGCCCGAGTAATACAACAGAAGCAGGGCTGTTTAAGCATTAAGGAAACAATGAAATGACCCTTTAGAGCAAGCATACCTTTGGCAACCGGCGTAGGCATGGCGAAACACCCTCAGTCGCGTCCAAACAGATTTGAGTGAACAGCAGCAGGCAGCGGTAGTAAGGTGAGTGTCGGCGTCACCTCCAGCTTGATCAGGCGGATACCCGGGTGCATTTTCCCCGCCGCCCGCCGCATGTGACCCGCCTCAGCCCTTATCCGGCTGCCCTACCTTGCAACCCGATCCGGCATCCCGCGTTTCCCCTCCGCCCGATCAAAACATCAACATCAACATCAACACCTTCCAACTTTCGCATTGCCTTTGCGCGCCTGTGCAGTCAATAACGGCGTTCAATTCGCTACACACTAGACAGTCATTATGTCTCGCCCATCCTCCATGGCGCAGCGCCCCCTCACGCTTACAGAGGAGCTCGAGAAGCTCGAGCAGTCCATCACCCTGACCCTTCAAGGTAACAACATCACTTGTTATAGCTCCTGCATACATCTCTAACTTTAGTCCTCACCAGAGATCGACCACAACTTTAGCCAAGCCCATCGCATCGTCACAACCAACATTCTCCCTCTGGTCGAACAATATGCAGAAAGCTCCCGCGACGTCTGGGACGGCGCAAAGGTACATCATCTACCCATATATCCCAACAACGACCCCTGCAGGCACTCTAACTCCCCACCAGTTCTGGAAACAATTCTTCGAAGCCAGCGCCAATGTTTCTCTCTCGGGTTACGAGGAGAAACCCGAAGGAGAAACCACCGTCCAAGAACCGACCAACCTGACGGCCGAAGAAGACCAAACCGTTACCGAATCAGTCGGCGAAGACGACAGCCACCACCAACTCCACCGAGCCGACGACATCGAGCTCACTTCCCTCAGCCTTTCCTCCCACAGCACTCCTCGTGTCGCCGGCCACGGCAACCGCTACGCTGCCAATGACGACGACACCTCGTCCATCGCGCACCCAACCCCAGATACCCGCTTCCGCGACGATGATGACGACGAAAACGACCCCTACCTCCCCACCACCCCAGCCAAATACTCCTCCGCCAGAACCCATCACTACACCGACGACTACTCCCACAACCAATCTCATACCCCGATGTCCTCCTCACCATTCATCCCTCCCGCCGAAGACCCAATCATGCACCAGATGGCCGACAAAACATACCGTGTGCAAGCCACCCCTCTCGGAAAGGGATACGGATACGAGTCCCGGTCCAAGTTTACCGTTACACCAAAGACAACAAACCAGAGCAAGAAGTACGCGTACGATGACTCTCCAATTTCCAGCCCGGAGCCGGAAGCCCCGAAATTGCATGCGGAGATCTTCTCGTCTCCTATGAAGGGCGTGGAAACGCCGAATACGGGCCGCAAGAGGAGACCTAGTGCGAATCGGCTGCGGATTACTCCGAAGCCCGGGATAAGTGTGCTGACTCCTGCGCGCGGCGGCGGTAATGGTGTGAGACGATCGGCTTGGGATAGTGATGATGACTTTGATGACGGGGATGAAGACTTGGGCCCGAGTCCGCCTAAAACGATGCAATTTCACATTCCGCAGAGTCGGTTGATGAAGACGCCTGGTTAGTCTACTTGTTCCCCTGCCCGTGTCTTCTATCTTACTTGGCTTGTCCTTTCATACATGCAGTACACGCTAATCAATGTACCCTACAACAGCCAAGGAAGCATCGAAACGCATCGTGGAAGACTTGCTTTTCACCGCCGGAGCCAACGACACAACAGACGACCTGCCAATCGAACAAAGTCCCAGTATCATCCAACGAGTGGAGCGACTGGAAGATGAGACATTCTAGATAGCCACTACTCAAATATAAAACAATATCCCTCCCTCTTGCACCTGTTGTATCTAATTACCGTACAATACGTCCTACAAGGTACCTACACGGTAAACAATCATCCCTACAAGAGTGCAAACAAGTAGTAGACAAGCAAATAAAGCACAATCAATCAAATACTACTACAACTCCATAACTCGATCTATCTATCAATCAAGCAGCAACAGCAACAAATCAGCTAACTAATCACACACTCACGTCCCTAACGACAAGACGCCAACGCTCACTCTCGATCTCATCGATAACTTCAGAACTCGCCTAACAAACATACCACAATCCAAAGGCAAATGAGTTTATAAGAATGGATATAAACCGAGGGGGGGGGGAAGGTACAGAGAGACACTGAAGGAAGACCCTGGTCAGGCATATACAGACTGTGGTCCCCGCACAGCGTACAGGATACGAGAGACAGATCGATTGCATCGGGAGAGAGAGCAATATCACATCACCATGGACTAAGAACTAGCTTCGAACCTGCGGGATAAATCAAGCAAGCAAGCGGAGAGAGAGAGGAAATGAGACAGATTACATGGGGTAAATTCAAAGAGGGGGGGAAGAGGATTCGGGAAGGAAAAGAAAACTGAGACACATAAGGGTATCGACGGGGAGGCAAGGCGCTGATCAGATATATCATTCGAGAATGATGGTGGCAGGGCTTTTGAGAGTTTGATGAGGCATGATGGATTGAAAGAGGATGGGTGTAGGAAAGGGGGGGGAAAGGAGAATCAAAAGTCCAAGACATCCGTGCCGCCGTGATATATGTACAACTGTCGTACTGACAGGGTTCGGGGTATTCTAAATGAAGAAAGGAAAATGGGAATGGGGTGCATGTCACTCCAATAGCCAAAAGTGGGAAGAACGATTCGAGAGGCAAAAGAAAATGGGAAATGTACCGTTTGCATCCTCGCGCCCCTCCGGACCAGGCCGATGGTTTAATCAAAAACGAAACTGATAGCGTTCTAACCCTGCAAACCCATGAAGATTTCCTGACAGTTCTCAACTAAGAATTTCAAGACCTCATTCTTCTTCTGCACATCAGTCATTTCACGTGCGAGACTCTCGGGCCGCATGATGGTTGGCGCAAACACGACGGCGATGTTCTGGCTGGTCATCAGGTTCTCCTTCTCGCGCTCGACCACGCGCTTCAAGTGGAACACGAGGAACTCGAGCACATCCTGGTGAACGCGCGGCAGCTCGCGCAGATTCTTCTGTAGATGTTCGACCCGGGCGGGCTGAGAAGTGATCTCGCCCGAATCGATGATCTTTTCATAAACGTCAAAGGTGATGAGCGGCATGGGCAGCTTGCGGAAGTACTGCTTCAACGCAGAGGTCACAGCATGAATATCGAGGTCAGGATCGGAAATATCGTAATCCTGTGGAGAGCGCTCGAAGCCTTCCCGAATAGTCTGAATTGCAGAGCTGGCGCCAGACTTCCGGTAGATACCTTCCATATCCATACCTAGGTGGACAGTTAGCATCCCTAGCGCACGTCCGTAACTGGCACCACATACCTCGTAGTTCGACCTCCTGAATACAGCGAGTAATGATGGCAGGGATGATGCTCTTCTCCTGCTCCATGCGTTGTTCCAGATCTGTACCGAAAAGGCCTGCTGATCTATATTAGTTATCTGCTTGTACGCAAGTGGAACAAAAGAAGCCAGATACTTACCACCAGGAGCAGGGGTTTCAGCCAGAGCAGGGACGCTGTCGGTTTGCGGCATCCGTAGTCCTGTTTGTTTGCTCCGCTGGTTGCCGAAGAAGCCAAATCCGGGGCGACTTGGATCCTGCGTTTGGGAGCGTGGCAGACCCGGGTTACCCTCAGCGGGTGCCGCTTCGCTCGACATGAAGGCACCCTTGAGACCCTTGGTGACGCCCTTGGCGACGTTCTGACCGCCCTTTTTCCAGTTGAACTTGCGAGGCTGTCCCTTTCTGATGCTAACCACTTGGGGACCGGGAACAATTGTAGCTGGTTCAGCCTCCTCTGAGATGTTTGTCGTCGCTACCGTAGGAACCAGATCACTGTTGGCCGCCTTGAGAGCATCAATAGCGGAGAGGGACTTCTCCTTGCCATGAGAGTAAATACCAAGACCGTTAGCCCCACGACCGTCCGTCGGGTTGGCCTTATAGAGCTCTTGGATCTGATGCACCAGCTGGTTGTTCAGCTCTGCCAGTTGAGCGTTCTTGGAGGACAACTGCTCGAATTCCTGGAAGCTCTTGTCCTTCATACGGTTCAGGTTGGCCAATTCCTCCGCAGCATCGTTACGTTTCTGCACCAGTTCTTCGATCTGTGGCGTAAAGGTATCTTTCAGCTTCTGTATCGATTCCACAAATTCCCGCAGGACATGGTTGGTCAGCTTCCCAAGATCGAGCGAGCCACCGTTGCCACGTTTCTCAGCCTCGAGGTGCTCGGTTAGCACGGTAAGTTCACGCATGGCAATCTCCTTCTGTGCATCCAAGACCACCATCGTAGAGCGCTTCTCGTGAAGTTCGGTGTTAACCTGCTTGACATCGGCACTTGCATTCAGCATCGCCTCCATCTCGGCGATCTTCTGTTCCCGATCGGACACGCGTTGCCGTTCCTTGCGCAGCTCATTACGCAGCCATGTCACTTCCTCGGGTCCTGCATTCTCAGGAGAAATCACAGACGGGCTCGCCAGGTCGGGTATCGCTGCAGATCCGTTAATAGGCGACTTCGGCCATTTGGCGTCCCTTGATAGGCGAGAACCTTTATCGCTGTAGCTGCGGCCATGGCGAACAGAGTTCGAAACGCGTCGTAGGAAAGACTCACTCGTCTGGGCATTGTTGCCATCGTCCGAGCCCATGATACGGGCCATATCTTCGTCCATGGTGAAGTCGCCGCCACCGCTGTACCGCAGCAACGAGGGAGAACCCGCACCGTCGGTTTGGCGGTAGGATTCTACCTGTTGAAGAGTGCTGATAGAGTTGGGACGTGCGCGGGGCTTAGCCTGATCGTTCAATTCACTGCGTGGGGTCCACGTGGAGTCGCCAGTCCGAGGTGTACTTCTGCTCACACCGGTCCTGTCAGTGGATCGCTCGCTCCACTGGTCGCTGGGGGTAACAGAGGACGGGCGAGGAGACGTTCCGGGCTCTTTCCTCGATGATTGATGCAGCCTGCTCTCCAGGGAATCGGCCCGTTTGGGATGCTGCACGCTCGTGGAGGACAAGAACGACTGGGCAGAGTCTACCGATCCTGTCGTCTCGTGCAAGCGACGCAGCTCATGCGAAGGCCGAGTCGGAAGTGTGGTGGTATTGTCACTGGCAGTTCTCTGAAGCTCTGGGGCCAAACCCTCTCTTTGGACAGTTGCCGATTTGGTGCTTTCGGGGCTGGGAGTGGAGAAAGTGCTGGTCTCCTTACGACCCAGGTCAGACCTGGAACTGCGAGCGGAAGCCGATCTGGCGGTGTTTGTGCCGTTGGCGAGGTCATCCTGACGCCAACGTGCCGGGTCAAGATCACCGCGATCCCGGCCCTTTTCCTGGTACGCAATATGCGGAGATGAGCTTTCCGACCCATGAGGCGATTTCCCGTACGTTGTGGCAGGTAACTGTCCGCGCGCAGACCGCTGTTCTTCGGAGGGGTCGAACGCAACGGGGATCAAGAATTCACCACCGCCATCTGCCTCCGGTTGAGGTATGACTGAGTGTCGATTGCTTCGGTAGGTGCTCGAAGGGAGAATTAGGTTGTCTATATATAGAATTGTTACGAGTTAGTCCCTCAGACACCACAATTTTCACAATCCACAGAGTATCCCCTACCTTGATTATCTGCAGCCGCACCGGTAGCAGAAGCGCTTCTGCCCCTTCCTGCGTCCAGCGCAGGCGCAGCTCCTCGCAAAGTCGTATCGGGGGTTGCATCTGAATACGCATCGGCAGCTGCCTCGTCGGAGCCACGAGGCATCGGTTCGGGGTCCTCCGAGGGCAAGGAAGGGAGTGATTTGTCTAGCTTCATGTTCGCCGGCGTCTGCTTCCTCGACGGTGCTACATTCCGATTCCTCTTTCTTCGACGCTGCATGAGGGATTCATGGCAGTCCATACAAAATATACCCTGCGAGGTTCGAGCATAGCGCAGGTTTTCGATCTTCCTTTTGCAGTTCCGGCATCGAAAGCATTGTGCGCAGAAAGCCTGCTCGCCGGTCAAGATGGCGAGATCTTCGATCTTGTTCCCACACGAACTGCAGCTGTACGTGCAGTTGCTGCAAATCAACGAACCATCTCCCAAGAGTAGCAGGTGTGCGTCGGAATCGAGAAGGGTACCGCAGGTGCTGCAGCAAAAACATTCAATGTGCCATCGATTGCCCGCTACACGGGAAGTCAAGAAAGGAGCGGTCAGCCACTTGTCAAACCAGGGGTCAAGAGGACTCAATGCAAACCTACCAAGTTCGAAAGCTTTGCCCTCTTCTAGAATCTGTTCGCGAAGAAAGCTAGGTTAGCATGCGATAAACATTGTTGCTCCATCAGAGCCTCCTGCATACCTCTCCACAACCCTTGCAAGGATACGGGATATCATCCTGGTCCATCGGCGATTCTGGATACGCGGGGGACTCCATCCTGTACTCCTCGCTCTAGTAGCGACCGAGACAAACAAGCTAGGCACGACGAGTTGATCGAGGAGGTCAACGATGGCGTGAATCTGGGAATGCGCCCGCGATGCTAAGGTCAGAGTGTTTTCGTCCAAGTCGTTAAGGAGTTCTTCGATATCCCGTTACGCATGCGACGAATTCGAAATGAAGGCGTCAATTCCGGTCTTGTTCGACGAGTAGAAATATCGCTAGAATATCATACAGCGAGGGAAATGCGAAACGGGGGCTTGTCAGGACGGGGGGTGTGTACAAGGGCTGTAGTGCCGGGGGGGGAGGATATGCGGGAGGGAGGACGCGAGTCCGCGCGCAGAATGGAAAATGCAATTAACTCCCACCACCAACAGAGAGCAAGAGAATGATAGAAT